GAGATCAATCACATGGAAAGCTTCCATAAACTTTTTCTCCCTATAAAGCCCTGCGATAAGACATTCATAGCATGATTGTTCCAGGACATGGGGGGTCACCTTGAAGACCTCGTCAACAAGAGCATGGCCCATGGTTGTGAAGCCAACGTCGCACAGCTCCTTGACAAAAGTACTGCAGATAGCTGGAATCAACTGAGGACGTGTCAGGGACATGATCTCAAAGAGCTCAAATGCCTCCTCAAACATTTCGTGCTCTAGTAGGAAATGAAGGATCAAATTGACATTCTTAAACTCAGGTAACCAGTTACAACCTTGAAGGCCATCCCAGAGTTCATGGAATCTATGCACGTCCTTTTCTTTGTAGAAAGCTGTGACAAAAGCCATAAAAGGCTCTGCCTCGATGGGCAGTCTTCTGTGGAGCAACACGTCCAACATCATCCTTGCTTTATCTGAAACCCCTTTCTTGTAGAAAGCAAGAAGTAGCAGGTTGACGGTGTGATCGTCCAGGTACTTGCACAGCTCAGGGATCTCCTCTAGCACATGCACAGCTTCCTTGACCTTGCAAGGTCTCGATGTAACAAGAGTCTCCAGCAATTTCGAGTACGTGGAGAAAGAAAGGCTTTCTCCAATCTGAGCAGCTTCCTCCACCATCTTGATGGCAGCTTCAGCCCCACCCTTCCTGCATTCCTCCTGTACCAGGAGATCGAAGTTTGGAGCCATGGCATCATCTAAGATCCTATTTAGTCTCCTCTCAAGCATTCGAATATCAGTGTCGAGGAACAACCCATTCCCCAGAAAATCGAAGAATTCAGCTTTCGAAGAATGCAGGCCGTTGTCCCTCTTGACCTTCACTTGCAGGTCACCAAGTCCTAGTACAGAGAAAGCCATGGAAACAGTGTCCTCGAGTGGGGACAGAGAAACAAGACCAATATCGACCATCTCCCCAAGAACAAGCTTAACCTCAACAAATCTTCTCATCATACAGAGCCCAGCTAATACGACTCTGAAAGTTGACATTTCGGTCTTTATCCCTTTTTCCATCATGTCAGCACAGACTTCCTTCAAACATTCCCACATCCCTTCCTTTGACAGGGCACCGAGAAGGGCATTACATGCGTGAACATCGGGCTTTAGCATCCTCGTGTAGAGCTCAGACATATAGCGGGAAGCATTTCTCAGGTTTCCCTCTCTACAACTCCACCGGATAAAGATCCCGAAGGTTTTTGCATCTGACTCGAAGCCCAACACCTCCAAGCTCTGCATGAACGACCATGCCTTGTCAGTACCACAAGTCTTGGACATGGAGAACAGTATCTGGTGGCAGACGCTGGCTCTGGGCATGTGTTTCCATTCTTTCAAGAATTTCAAGAGATCTTCAAAGTCACTTTTCCTGCTATATGCATCAGCGATCGAGTCCAGAGACTTGCAGCCGCAATGGATTCCGAGGTTCCTGACTCTCTTGAGAAGATTGAGAGCTTCCAAGACCTTGTCATGCGTGCACAGAGTCTGAACAACAAAATCAAGAGCATAATTCTCATTGCTCGATACTAGCCCCACGTCTCCCATGTCTGCATAGATTCTCTCAGCTAACTCTGTCTTCTGCATCTGAACTAACCAATGGAGAAGTGCCCTGTAGCATGAAACATTCAGAAGCACGCTAGGGAGACATCTTGCCTGGTCATACAACGCAATCGATCTCTTCCAATCCCAGTTTTCAATATACCCTTTAATGATCTCACTGAAGAAATCACTAAGGCCTGGGCTATAAACCCCGGAGGCTTGCATGTCGTACAGAAAGGATTCGGCGTCTGTGAGCCTTTGGGCGCGTAATAGCGTAGAAATCATCAACTCGAAAGTTCTCGGAAGATGGGTGAAATCCCCTTCCTGCTTGCTAGCCCAGCTGAACAGTTTCAGCAAGAAATCCACCTCCCTCGCTGCCACCTTCGGTCCGAAACCCACAATTATATCGAGCACATCTTCCGGTTTGAGAACCGAGACCCTCCAGAAACGGCGCATCGTCTTCGGAGACAAGAAGAAGGACGTCTTGACATGGTCCAGAAGAGAAAACCCTTCGACCGAGTCCCGGCCTCTCTTCGTCCAGAGGTGAGAAAAACTCGACATAACAGATCTGCAGACGGTGACGACCCCATTCGAATCGCAAGCCAACTGGGTTCCTGCCATCTCATTCTCGCAAGGACCAACTGATTGAGGTTTACGGGCGGAAGGATTACCGGAGGGCGCGGAGACTCGCCTCAAGAGCAGCTGCAGAGCACTGGAGGAGAATCCTCTCCCCGCATTCTCGGGGAGCTCAGGAAAAGGAGGCAGAAGAAGGGAACTGCCGAACTCCACCGAGGTGGTGGTTGCAGTGGGAGAAGACGATGGGTACTCGGCAATTCGCGGCCCACGGTGAAGAGAGACCCTCCTCATGTCACCCGAGCCGCATCGCTTTGAGGCAGCGACGCGCGTTTGTATTCATCTCGCCACACTCGTGTTTCATTCATAGTCAGTGGAAGCGGAGACTAGTTGAATCACAGTAGAAAAAAGGCAATTTTTACTCTCTAAAACGTCCAACGAGAGGGCGGCATAAATCATCTGCTAGCTATCTGATGTTCTATTCTGCAACTTTTTTCGCTGTAAGATTTTTAGTTCATGGCTTAGAAGGAGGGAGAATGCACGTATTGTGCGTCTCGGGTCTCTCCCTTGGGAAGCAGGTCGGGGGGGTGGGATGGGTAGGGATCAGTTAATGGGCCCCACCCGATCAAGGTCTTCACCGACTTACGATGGCGTCAAATTCTGGCTCCTTTCTACAATCCAACTTCGGGGAAGTCAGGTTGCGCTTTCCCCGCTCCTTGAAATCGTGGAATCTGTCGTTGCCTTCGTGGGGACTCCGACGGGATTATTATATAGAAGGAGGGTATTTGGAGTAACAAAAATAGTCATCCAAGGCAGATCGCCTCAGAAAACCCTAGCTCTTTGTTTTTTTTATATACAACCCCTGCCCTTCACGCTCGAGATATTTTCCCACCTTCGTTCTTCTTCCTCGTGAGCACAGACCGCGCCTGTCCCCTCCCTCCACAACCTCTTTGTAAGGGTTTCCGGCGCCCCACGGAAGCATTCGAAGCCCTCCCCCGGGTGCTTGACTGAAAGGTGCGCTCTTGTACTCATGGCAGTGATTTCTGAGGTTATATTTTTTGGGGTTGTTGCGTTTTTCTGATGTGGCGGGATTCCGATCTGTATTCCGCAGCTTCTGTTGGTTTTCCGATGGTGAATTGGGTGCCTATTTTTACCCTTACTTCGTTCTTTCACTGGATTTTTACCTGAATCTGAGAAATATCTAGGACTTCCCATTCGTGGGAGCGCATATTGCTGCCGTATGATTGCCTCATATTTTTAATTTTCCTTCCTTTCATACTGATCTTCTCACTGGTTTTTAGTCGGCGAGAGGAAGATATGACCTGGATTATTTTCACTTCCTCATGAGAGAATACGTTTACAATTTCTTTCGATAATTTCAATCTCTCTTTGTCAGGCAGATCGAATCTCTAAAGTAGCTCTGTACACATCTTTCTGTTGTCCAAAGTCTGTTCGAAACTAGTTTAGGCTTAGTGCAACATTATCTGGAGAACAGCGAGTGGACAATGGTTTATGTCTTCGTGCGTTTCGCTTACCCTACGGACCATTTGGTTGGGAATTACTGCAACAAAGTAACAATTCTATAGTATGATTTGTTGTATTCAAGTCTCTGATAAACTTTCACTTTATCTGTCTCGGGCTTTCTATTTTGTCTGCGTCTTCTTGTGTCAGAACCTGCAATGGTTGGCTTGTACTCAAAGATTTCAGAGTAGTTTGCCCAGTTTGGTTCTTGCATTCTCTGTCATTATTGCTTCTGAGATTTTTTTGAGTCGCCAACATGAGTTTTTTCTTGTGATGAGTTGTATGATGCAATGGAATGTCCAGGAGTTGTTTGAACTATAGAATAGTAAGGTTGCAGTCCGTAAATTCCATGTTCAAGGTTCTGCTTTTAGAGGCAGGTGGAATAGATAACTTTACATGTGGGACCATAATTTGCCCGTATTCAGAAGGTGTACTTGGTTTGGCTCCGGTCATAGCTTTGAAGCATTACTTGTAAGGGGCGTTTAGCCCTCCCCTCATCTTGTTAAGATTTCCCAAACATGATTGGCATCAGAGTTTGTTTTTATTTTCTCCTTTTTGTCATTGTTGATGCGAGATGAGGAACTAGAGCAGCAATATGAAAGATCTGTTTCATGTTTAATTGTACTTTAGTCGATCTATGACCTATTTTTCTTTAGTATTTTTTGAATTCATATTGTATTTTATTCGCAGCATACTTTTTGCTTGTGACCTTTTCTAACTTCTGTGGAACATGGTGATTGTTAGTGCAACATTTTGGGCAATGTTTTTTGATGTTTCAATGTGATTGCCCTTTTTCCATACTCCTGAATTTTTCTTCACATTAACTGTGAAAACATTTTTGCACCAGTTTGATTATATAATTAGGGACCTCAAAATGGCCTACAGGTGGCAAGTATTCTTCACAGGTTTTGACTGAGATAATGCTGGCCTAGAATGTTCTATATTTTGTTAAGTAGTCCTTTCTTATGCAAATGCAACCACATTTTACGGGATGCTTTTGTACTTCATTTTGAAACATTTTCCTTTCTTTTTTTCCTTGGACATCAACCTTGATGATACCATGATGTTGCACCGTGTTCCCTTATGCCACAGTTTTTCCAGATATCTTCCCCCTGCCAATTCCTTCAATTTTTCCTTTCCGAAACTAATGTAGATTTATTTCTATGATTATGTCGCCGATATCTGAAAACTTGATTCTTATGTCAGCCTTTCTTGCCAGATTGCTGAAAAATTTGCCTCCGAATTTCTCGAATGCTCGTGTCACATAGTGAACTGATACTGTGGTTATATTTTATTTTGTCAAATAATGCATTTTAAAAAATCTGCAATTTATTTTTTGATACAGTCTATGCATAACATCTATGCCATGGTTTTGAACCCAGGCGATCAAACCATAATCTCTCTTAAAGCACGTAACCAAAATGGCTGGACAGAGGAATAACTATGGAAAGCGCCCACACCCTCAAATGGACTATAATGAAAATGGTGGAAGTAAGCGAAGAAATCCAGGAGATGATAGAGACTCGTATGCACCTGGACCAGATGATACTGTCTACCGATACTTATGCCCTGGTGGAAAGATAGGAAGTATAATTGGTAGAGGGGGTGAAATTGTGAAGCAGTTAAGATCTGAGAGTCAGTCTAAGATTAGGATTGGGGAAACAATTCCAGGCTGTGAGTATAGAGTTATAACTATTTTCAGCTCAAGTCGTAAAACAAATACGTTTGAAGACACTGGTGATGATATCTGTCCTGCTCAAGATGCTCTCTTCAAGGTACATGAAAGACTTGTTGCAGACGAGGCTCCAACTGAAGAAAACCCTGATGCTGATGCCCCACAAGTTACTGTTCGTCTTCTTGTACCATCCGATCAAATTGGATGCATAATTGGGAAAGGTGGTCAAATTATCCAGGCCATCCGCAGCGAAACTGGAGCTCAGATTCGTATCCTGAAGAATGAGCTTCCTCCATGTGCCATTAGTGGAGACGAGCTCCTGCAGGTACATGCTAACAAAAGTTGTGTATTATGTTCAATATGATGCCATATGTCTGATATTTTGTTGTGATTGTTTCTAGATCACTGGAGAAGCTCCTGTTGCGAGGAAAGCTCTATTTCAAATTTCAAATTGTCTCCATGATAACCCCTCTCGTTCACAGCACCTTCTTGCTTCTGCCAGTCTGTTCCCACCTGTGAATCAGTTTGGTGGTTCTGCTGGTGGCCCAGTCATGGGGCCGATTATGACTCCTTATGGGGGATACAGAGCAGATGCTGGAGCCGATTGGACCTCCTTTTATCCTCCTCCAAGGGATGAAAGTTCTTCTAGAGAGTTCTCTCTTCGGTTGGTCTGTCAATCAGCCCTCATTGGAGGGGTGATTGGCAAAGGTGGCGTCATCATTAAACAAATCAGGCAGGAGTCTGGAGCATCAATTAAAGTCGATAGTTCTTCTGCTGAAGATGATTGTATTATCGCAATCACTGCAAAAGAGGTCTCTGCCACCTTTAGTCATGATTGATACTTTAATCTGTTTATTGACTATGCTGATGTTGGAAATCCTGATTTTGTTGCCAGTTCTTTGAAGACCCAGTATCCCCAACTATTGATGCTGCAGTCCGCCTTCAGCCTAGATGCAGTGAAAAAACTGAGAAGGAATCTGGGGAGGCTCAATACACTACTCGTTTGCTTGTACCAACTTCAAGGATCGGATGCTTGATTGGTAAGGGTGGATCCATCATCTCTGAGATGAGGAGAGCCACTCGGGCTAACATTCGTATATTGTCTAAAGAGAATCTCCCCAAAGTTGCCACAGAAGACGATGAGATGGTGCAGGTAGAAAACGTTTTGCATCTTCTGCATGAGTTTAAGGGAACTTGTGACGTACAATTTTGGCGTTTAATATGGTTGTTTACTTTTATCCAGATCAGTGGTGACCTTGATGTTGCTAGAGGTGCTCTGATACAAGTAACCACACGTCTGAAGGCTAATTTTTTTGAGAGAGAAGGTGCTTTATCTGCTCTTCTACCACCCGTTCCCTACATCCCAATGGCAGGTGATACTTCAGACGTTCTGAAATATGGGGGCAGAGATAGTAAAGGTCATGGGCGAGGGTATTCCTCATATTCTGGTGGATATGGAACATCAACAGATATGGGTTCAGAAGCTTATCCAGGCTATGGTGTCTCACAGGTGAATTACTGCTTTCCTTGTTTTTCTGTATTTTTTCCTGTGTAATGGCTCTCTAGTTGAAATACGTGTTTTCCTATTTTGGTACATTAGGCTGGTGGAAGCAGCTACGGTGCATATGGTGCTTATCCATCCGGGCGTTCTGGTAGCAGTGGGTGAGGACCTTTTTTTAATGACAGCTCTTATACTAATTAAATTTACAGGTTGTTTCACGAAGGTGCAGGCTACTGGTATAGTTTCATTTTAAAGGCTAGAGAAGACTGTGGTTTCATGTTGCGATCATGCCTGATCTTGTTTTATCACTGAAAGTTAGCCTTTTTTAATTCATTGACTTTGATGAGATGTTTATCGTCAACCCTGATCCAAATTTTATGTTACCAGGTTAACTGGTCCAAACCCAGTTTCCCAGGGAAAACATCCTGGGTATTAGTATACAGTGATTAGAAAGTGCAGGTAGACTATTGCCTCAAATCCTCCCATCTAAACATTTTGTATCCGTGACAGAACTAGATTAAAAGTACTTGCATCGATGTTAGTCTTTAACCTGGCAAGCCAACCTATATTTTGATATCTAATGCACCGTTTTCTTTTTACCTTTTGCCTTCCCTTCCTAAACAAACAGCTGAGATCTACGAAGCCTGGAGCCCGCCCAAAGCCTCTTTGACGAAGCCTGAAGCCTTAAACCAGAAGACCAGATGAACAGCATTATGAAACTGATGGCCAACCTTGGAATCTTATAATTTAGGGGGATGTCTTCTGGAGACGATCATTGTCAAATCCCTCATGTCCTTCCAGTTGATATCACTTCTCCCCCAAGCTAAATTTGTTCCCAACAGGCCCATGCTGCCGTCCAAACTTCTGTTCTGAAGGACCTATGTGAAGTTACAAGCTGCGTACCTTAATTTCCCGTTCGTCAGTTAGTGTACCATTGCTTCACTGGTGTGATAGATCTTCTAGGTGTCAGCTTTACGATTTTTACCTCATATAAGGCGTGCCGTCCGTTAGCTTGATGGGTCGTACTCTAGAGGGGCTTTCTTTCTAAATGCTTCAGGCCTTTTTGTTTACCTGCTGTGGGGCTTTATTCATTTTGTTGTTTCTTCCTGTTAGTTTTCAGATTTTCTGCAGAGCATTTTTTTTATCACGTCTTTCTGTGCCATGCCAGCATGATGTGCCTTCTGGCTCCCATCCTGGTTCCATGATTGCACGCTTGCATCATTACTCACCTGATGATATGTGATGATGAATTGTGAGTTTGAAGATCAGTTTTTGGCCAATAGCTGCGCATTCTAGTGTGATCAGGTGGGTTGTGGCAGCTTCTTGAAGACAGATGTCAAAGTAGTGCAAAGGTTGTTGACTTCTAATGCCAGATCTTCACTCACAGCCCCTCCTGCTCTGATCAAAGAGATCTCTGAGGGTAAGTGCGGATTATCAAATGCCAGGATATATTAGTGACCATTATGCAACAGAGTAAACACCAGGGCATTGCCGGTGAGCCTGATCATTCAATGCTCTTCGGCCATGGCCTGAAGTGCTTTTATTTATGGTAAGTGGGAGGTGTGGGTCCCACCTGATGATATTGCTGTTCCCTGTCTCCTTGGTCTGTGGAATCTACGAGGAAGAGTCAGACCTCTGCCTGCGCTCTTCTTGCACTTCTTGGTTTCCTTTGCTTTGAGTGGCAGGACATCGTCAGTGGGATCTGGAAGAGTTATATTATATCTTCATGCCATCAGAGCAGGTGCAGTGTGTGGCGAACTGGTTTGCAGGTGAGCCGTTGCAAAATCTGCATGTGCCTCAGAACAATTAAGTGAAAAAAGAGTTTGAGACCCTGAATGTCAGGTGTAGAATGCTTTCTTTCTTACGGCCTTGTTCTATTCAATTTGTAACTTCCAGGGGAGGCACGAACTTGGGAATTACGGAATGAGAAAGGGCATTCGATTGAGAGAGCCTTCTTGCTCTCTGGTTTTCTCAGTGGGAAGGATGGTGGTTGCAGGTTATGTGGGAATGTTCATGTCTGATATCTACTCATTGGATCTCCTATCTTTAGTTCTGTGACAGTTAGCAACTGAAGCTAGGAATAAAGGAACGGAAATTCCCACAGCCCCATGCTACCTTTGTCTTGCGAGTTGAAGAGGGTTTGTAGCTGGAAAGGCCTTTGTCATTTATATTTATGTTTAGTATTGTGAAATTTAACAGATAAGTTGAGTGTATTCGTCATTATATTATAGATAAATGATAAAGCCTGAGAGGAAATGTTAACGAGTGTAGAGGTTCTCTATCACTGATGATTAGAAAACAAGAACTGTTGATGTGCATGGTGATATGTCCTGATTCCGTCTAACATCTGAGTTTCTACACGAGTCTATAATTCTAAGCATCAAGGTTTTATGGTTCTTTGTGTGCCCATTTAGGTTTCTATGCTGCAATGTTAATTTGTTAGCGTTTTCAATTATTTGGAAATGTCAACAATGCATGCTTTCAACGACGTCAGTTTGAGATTGTTCTTTTAAAAGGGATAAAACTTGAGATAAGCCCAACTTCTAGGGGATATCTCTATCTTGACCAATTTTTAGAATGCTTCAATGCTTTAATATAGTTCCCTATCGTTTAAGAAGAAACTTAGACAGCTACCCAAGGAGGACCATAAGATGATGAGTATAGTTGGGGAGGTGGAGTGGCTATATATAATTGTGTCAAAATAAGTAGGTTGATTATGGTCTCTGAAGCCTCATGTTTTTTGTTGTGTTCTGTTAATCTTTGTATTAATTCAAGAGAAAAAGTTATCCAGCCTGAAAATCACCTAAAAGTAGTGACAGGATAAGTATTGATTCCCAAAAGGTTTCATGTTACTGTCACAAAAAGATATGTATATATATTGCACCTAAAAATTAAAAAACGACCTTATAATGTCAAACATTGAGGCCTGTACTTAGATAAGAAAGTAAATCTGAATAAGCAGTAATTACCAAATTGTTGAATTGAGATCATCAACATCAATATATTAAGTTAAATTATAATTGAAGTTTGAAAATGTGTGTCAACATCAAAGATAAAAAATGTTTGCTGACATAAATGGTGTTAAAATTTAGGCTAAATTATAAAGTATTTAGAATGATCAGCAGATTCCTTACATTCAAGGAGCCAACTCACCATCATCACTAACAACATACTTGGTGTAAGTTCCTCTTCCTCTCGGCTATCAACTCTTCCCTGACTTCTTTATAAGCTCTTCGATTTCCTTGATCAACTTGAAGTCAGTTTGAAGAGAATTATAGATAAGATGGCATTTGAAGAAAAAATTGATTCAGTTAATGTGTATTTCTCATCATGATTTTTTTGCAAAATGTATCTTTTTTAGCCTAGCAAAAAGGAAAACTATTGTAGAAAATTTTGCACCTATTCAATGGGAGCAAGAGAAACTTTAACAAAGAAAATGTTGTATGAAAATAAGATTTAATCAATTATTTATAGCCACTTATATTTTGCAAAGGCTAGAAACGTAAACCATTCAAGCCAATTTTACAAAGATATTTTAAACATTAAAAGGAGGACATTGTTGAGATAATGATTTTGATAATTACTCATCATGAAAAATTGAATGAACCCTATTTTGAATGCAATAATATGCAAATAAAGGGGGATTTTTTCTATTTAAATCTATTTTAAAGAAATAATAAAATGTAAAGAAAGATAAGGAGATAAAAACCAAGTGGAAAAAACTTAAAAACTTAAATTTAGTGCCAATATAAGAGTATAAAATAAGGTGTCTAACTCCATGTTCACCCACTAAAGTTAGTTTGTCAACTAATTTGAAGAGAGCATGTTGACCCATCATTAAAGGGAGAGAATGTTTGTCTTGTAAATCGTCAAAATCAAATTACCAATGAAAAATTAAAACATTTTAAATGATTCTTAAAAGGTTAAAATACTCTTCAAGTCTGATGGTATGTAGTCACCATTATTATTTTAACAGTCTTTACATCTCTAGCTTAATGATGATTAACTTTACGACGTTCAATAATGTTTGGACATACATAAGAGATTTCCTCATTGAATAAACTTTTTGTGATGTAGCGAAACTTGAGGGAATAGCTTGAATGAGTTGTGATCAACTTTGATGTTGTGGGGGTCAAAGACACATCTTGAATCCTCGAAAAATGTGCTCTAATTGTTGTCCTTTCGGTCTGAATCCACAGGGTGAAGAAGACAGGTCCCTCAACTCCACAAGGGGGTGATTCTAAATCCGTAGAATTAAGAACAGGTTCCTTAAGTCCATAATGGTGTTGGAGTCCACTAGCAGAAAAAGAGAACTTTAAGATAAGAAAACTCACGAAATAGTATTGAAAAAAGGTAATATGTCTCGGGGCTTACAAGGGGTGCTTTTAAATAAGCTAAGAGTCTTGATTTGGGCGCCAAGATTTGAATTTCAAATAAAATCTAAATCCAAAAGAATTTCGGATGAAATTTGAATTTCAAATGAAATTAAAAAAATAATAAAAATAGATATATAGGTCTAATTTTGGAATTCGGCCAGTAAAGTAGAATTTGAGCTGCA